AATGAATGTGTGTGATTTCTTGAATTTCTTTAGAATGTGTACTCTATGTCAATGGTTCCAAAACATTTGTTCAGGACCAATTTGTGGGTCACGAATAAATACATGGGTCCCCTAATTATTGTTATTATTATTTCAAAACCTTTTCAAAAACATTCCTCAAAAAAGCATACGTAAGTTTTCATGATCTTAAAAAACAAACAAGCACTAATTTTTCATCAACTTCCTTAATACATGAAAGAAAACTAAGATTCCATAAATTAAATAACTAATAGAAGAAGTAAAAATAGCTGATCTACAAGTTCAAATTGCGGTGCGAACACATTCAGAGCTTGTAAATCTGCTATGTTCACAAGTTTGTAAGCTGGGCAAACATATAATTTGGCTTTTGGATTTTGAGATACAAGGTTTGGGGACCACTGCTCTATGTAATATGTCAGTATGCATTTGGCTATTCATGTTAAGAGACACTGTTTACATGTGGTATTTGCATGTACTGTATTAGGTCTACCTGATTGGAATGGTCAAAGCTAAAATGAAATGCACAAAATAATTAATTATTGTGTAACAATAGAGAATGAGAGACCATTTGAATTGAAGTGAGGGAGAGAAACATCCACCTGTGCATAATCTGCATCCATGATTGTAATGGGATGTGTGATCCAGAGAAAATGGATCCATCTCTGATGGACCTTGTTATTGCCCTGCCCCTGTGTGATGACCATCTGCAGCTCCTGTAACATAACATACCACACCTGTAAATATAATTTTAAGTAGTAACATACAGTAGATTCTCAAGAGTAAACCTATATGAGATTGTAAACATGGTCATGTCCCTTATTAGGAGGAAAACATTTACCCCTTTCTACATTTGCCCCTTACATCTACACTCACCGGCCACTTTATTAGGTACACCTGTCCAACTGCTCGTTAACACTTAATTTCTAATCAGCCAATCACATGGCGGCAACTTAGTGCATTTAGGCATGTAGACATGGTCAAGACAATCTCCTGCAGTTCAAACCGAGCATCAGTATGGGGAAGAAAGGTGATTTGAGTGACTTTGAACGTGGCATGGTTGTTGGTGCCAGAAGGGCTGGTCTGAGTATTTCAGAAACTGCTGATCTACTGGGATTTTCACGCACAACCATCTCTAGGGTTTACAGAGAATGGTCCGAAAAAGAAAAAATATCCAGTGAGCTGAAGGTCTGTGGGCGGAAATGCCTTGTTGATGCCAGAGGTCAGAGGAGAATGGCCAGACTGGTTCGAGCTGATAGAAAGGCAACAGTGACTCAAATAACCACCCGTTACAACCAAGGTAGGCAGAAGAGCATCTCTGAACGCACAGTACGTCGAACTTTGAGGCAGATGGGCTACAGCAGCAGAAGACCACGCCGGGTGCCACTCCTTTCAGCTAAGAACAGGAAACTGAGGCTACAATTTGCACAAGCTCATCGAAATTGGACAATAGAAGATTGGAAAAACGTTGCCTGGTCTGATGAGTCTCGATTTCTGCTGCGACATTCGGATGGTAGGGTCAGAATTTGGCGTCAACAACATGAAAGCATGGATCCATCCTGCCTTGTATCAACGGTTCAGGCTGGTGGTGGTGGTGTCATGGTGTGGGGAATATTTTCTTGGCACTCTTTGGGCCCCTTGGTACCGATTTAGCATCGTTGCAACGCCACAGCCTACCTGAGTATTGTTGCTGACCATGTCCATCCCTTTATGACCACAATGTACCCAACTTCTGATGGCTACTTTCAGCAGGATAATGCGCCATGTCATAAAGCTGGAATCATCTCAGACTGGTTTCTTGAACATGACAAAGAGTTCACTGTACTCAAATGGCCTCCACAGTCACCAGATCTCAATCCAATAGAGCATCTTTGGGATGTGGTGGAATGGGAGATTCGCATCATGGATGTGCAGCCGACAAATCTGCGGCAACTGTGTGATGCCATCATGTCAATATGGACCAAGCTCTCTGAGGAATGCTTCCAGCACCTTGTTGAATCTATGCCACGAAGAATTGAGGCAGTTCTGAAGGCAAAAGGGGGTCCAACCCGTTACTAGCATGGTGTACCTAATAAAGTGGCCGGTGAGTGTACAAAAACGTTCATATTGAAATATAGTGGACTTAAAACCCGGCCACGAAATGTTATAATATTGTAAGCTCCCACAGGACTACTCTTATCTCAAGTATAGTTCAATAAAAAGCAATTAAATCTAAAGGATGGCCATTTTCTGTTCTCCATTTGCTTTCAACAATGAGACTATATATTGAGAGCTGTATTGCAAACATTTTAGCTTTTTAAAAAAATGTCCAGTTTGGTCACAGACAGGATTATTTAAAAAGTGTTATCATTTTAAATAAATAAAACACATGCGCGCACACACACACACACACACACACACACACACACACACACACACACACACACACATATATATAATAATAAAGAAGATAATGATAATGCAATGATAATGCTTCATCACTTACCACCGGTATCCATCTTTGGTTGTGTTTGTTTTTTTGAACTTCATTTGCCTGTGGCAAACTGGGCATCTTTTTTTACTGGCCAACAGCCTCTCCCTCTGAAGCCACTGTATCAGAGGTTTTCCTCCTTGTGCTGTATTTTGCAGGAGTTTTCTTATTAAAGTCATGGTTGAGTTTTTTTTTAAGAAATTGCCTTCTTCTGGGTTAAAAAAAAGAATCTCAATCGAAACAAATAAGCTCAGGCTTAATAGTGTAATCTCCTTCTTAGTTGACCTTTTCCCTATGCAAACTTATAATAAACCCTTCAATAAATCAATCAATTAATCAATCAATAAATCAATAAATCAGTGCCTAGTCTGCCTTCACCATACCTGCACAGTAAGAAGCTTGAACAACTAGTGGCGCTTTTTTTCCGGCGCTCCTATCTTCGTGGGCGATTTGGGCTATTGAACGTCTCTAGAGCGTAATGACGTATGCACGTGTGTATGCAACGTCACCAACGTGTAGGGGAAACACGGAACCAGGAGTTGTAATCGAACAGCCGGTGAAATAAACTGTGTGTGAATGTTTATTTCTCCTCCACTCCTTTCAACCGCGCTACTCGAGTCGTAACAGAAACCCACATTCTCCCGGTTAGTGATGGTGAAATGAAGCTTCTTAAAGCATTAAAGCTTTCCATCCAATTACTCGACTCCTGGGTTGAAGCTTCATTATTGTGCTTCATTTGCTCTACTGTGCCATCAAGTGGACAATAAATGTAAAACAGGCAGAGTGATTAAAGACACCCGAGGCTTTGGTGCGCGAAGCTTTGAATTGAATAAATGAATGGATGTGATGCCGTGTGTTTGTGATAAAGACAGACACCATGTTAATAACTTAATTATTTCTCTATTGTAAGACACAGTTGCAGAGTCAAAAAGGGGAAGAGGACATAAATAATGGAGAGGGTTGTGATGTGAATGTGCTTGTGTTACTTAGTTTGTTGTTTGTACTTTTTTAATGGGGTAAACATATTAAAACATAAACATTTCATTTATTTTCATTTAAAAACAACTTTTCAACAAGTCTCGAGTCTATGGATTGTGAGTGGGGGAGGACTCCATTGCGTTTCGCTGCCTGATAAATCATCCGCCAAACCCGCAAACCGTCTCTTGAATCAGTCACGTGGTACAGCCGGGTAGCGAGGCTTCAGATGTCATCATTTTTGGTTCCTCCCCTACATGAAGCAAGCCTCGATACGCGCTTCGCGGAAACGCCCCCTCCATTGCTCGACACACACTCCGAAGCCTCGGCACTGAAGGGCACATCGGTACTCCCAGTGTGAGCTCCACTTTCCCAACCACGCAAGAAAAACACATTGGTAAGTGACACATTATACCTAAGAAATAACTGTAACATTAACATAATGTTAATATAAGCTGACTGTGGTTTGCATGCCATGGTTGCTAACGTGAAAATGGCTAAAGCTAACAACATTGGGGGACGTTGGTAGGTTAGGCTAGATCTGAGCATTGAGCTGACTGTTGTAGATTGCTGAACGCCTGTTAATGCGAGGTTAAGCACTACCGAGCTTTACTTTGTTTAGCTTTAAATGTGTTAGCCACTTAAACCCTCAACATTTAGATCAGTATTTGTGTCATTTGAATGCTACTTTCTGCACAGTACTGTGTTCTTTCTGTATGTTTCTCAATGTTATGAGTTTAAAAAAATGTCAATTGAAACAAGCTCAGGCTTTCATGTGTAGTCTCCTTTTAGTTGACTTTGTACCAGTGAGTCTGTACTGTAAAGAAACTGTACATTTTTCTCAATAAACTTTTCAATCAATCAATAAATCAATCAAGTGGTTCTAAACCTGTGAATCAGACCCCCAGGGGGTTCTCAAAAGAGCTTGGGAGATTTAAGTTAAATGTTAAACATTATTTCACCCGATTTAGTTATTTCTGCAGTTACAATTCAAAACATGGAAACATGACCCTCTTTTATTACTTCAGTCTATATTAACGCCTATTATATATTTTTGTTTATTGTATTTTAATTGAAGTTCATAATGTTAGCATAAGAACAAAGTTAAATTTAAAAATGAATAAATGTAAATTTTCCAGATTCCAATTCAAAAATAGTAAAAAGAAAATAATTCAGGATTCAAATTAAAAAATGTCAAAAGAAATAGCTGATCTACAAGCTTAAAATGCGTCGACAGTATATGCATTTGAGTGACTGAAAATATTCATGTGGTTCATGTAGATCAAACAAAAATGACAAATATTTGGTGGCCCCCCCCGTAGTAACTGTGACAACCCCCTAGGGGTCCCAGACCACTTTATGAGCCATAAATCAGCTCAAAGTTGATTTATATATCATACTGTATAACAGATACAGCTTTGTTAAATTATCTTAATTTGTTTATTTTACCCCACAGAGTCATGTCTCAAATACAAACTCGAAGAGGGAAAAAAAAGAAGAAAACAAGAAGACTTTGCCAGTCCAAAACAACTTGGAGGAGATGGAGTCAGATATTGAAGGTAAGAATTTTATTCAATCATGGTTATACATAGAGTGGTCTCGTATAGCACAAGGTTGTCTGAGTCCCTGCGACATACTAGCATCATGTCCAGGGGGTGGACTTGTAATGTACACAAAGCTGCCTCATGCTAAAGAATCAGTGGTTATCAAAGGTTTCAGGGCCTCTGGGTTTACCTTAAGCATTCTAAATCGACCCCTAAGAGTATGTAAATCTTGACACAAAACTCAGATGTACAGATGGAACCAAATGAACCCTAACCAGTCCATTTGTGCATTGTCAGAGTTAAGGGGGGGACCTTGAATTTTTAAATTTTACATCACACTGCAGCATGAAAATGCACTGATTTATTAAGTGACCCCAAAATTTGGGAAATGCACCCCTTTTTTATAGACTACATTGGGGAGCTTTCAGACTCTGTTCACCTTAGCAAGGCCTATGGAAGATATTTGTCTTAGTAGGAGCATCTCTGCTAAGAGTACTCTCCCTTCCACCCACACACAATCTCTTAACGGCAACATTTAGCATAGTCAGACTGGCCCTATTATGAAACTGATATGTAAAGACTATCAATTAAACCCTGAAGTGAAAAAGAATAGTTTAAGTACTGATCATCATGTATACTCGGATTGTGCAATATATTTGTAATTATGAGTGTTTTTTTTTCCCCCTTTCTTTTTTTTTTCTTTTTCTTTGATCTGTCTTGTAGTCAGTAGCCCAGAGGATGTGGTTCACCGTTATAAGAAGTTGGTGAGGATGTATAGGAGGACCAGGAGCATCCCAGAAATCTGTAGGGCCTTTGACTTGGATCGCAACACCATCGCGGGGACTACGGTCATCGGAGATGTCCTCATTGCAGGAGAGGGTGGGGATTTTGGAGAGCTGCCCATAATTCCAGAAAAGCAGAGTTTGGCTAGCTTTGCCAAAGTTTGCAAGGCATTTTTGGATGCAAACCCCACCCTAAAAGAGAAAGTGGATAAGATGAGGAAGGCCAATGAGCTGCTCACCATCACATACAAATTACATAAATGAGGGGGCCTGGTGAAGCACCAGCCATGTGATATCACATTATCATGTGTCTTCTGCAGACAAGTGTGGCCCATGTGGGTGCTTGTGCTAGGTGGGTGTTTTCAGAAACCGAAAAGTGAAGAATCAACCAGTGTCTGCACTGTCTAAAAGTCCTGACAGACACATCACTATTTTGGTTTCTGAGTGCTTGGGGCCAGACCAGTCTGCAGGAAACACATGATGATGTGAATTCACACACACACACACACACACACACACACACACACACACACACACACACACACACACACACACGCACACACACAAGCGCAGTTGAAGTTAATACGTTGTTAATAAGTTGTTGTTTTGACTAGTTTTGTGTCCCGGGCAGGGATTTTTTGCACTATTCTTCTCATTATCATGTGGGTGCTTGCACTATTTCCGTGTCCATTTTTTTTCTGCTAGGAGGCAAATGAGATTGCCTGACCCCTCAGATATGCTTTACCCACCTCCCATAAAGTGCTTCTTGAGATGTTTTGGGTATCATTTGTGTGAAAAAAAATTGGCTATTTCTTCCTTAAAGAATTTTTTTAAAATGTGGATTATTCAGTAAAAAGTGTGAAAGTTTCCACTGTGTCTGAGGAGGGCTGTGGTTTGGGAAATTTATGACAACTGATGCAGAAGCATGGTCTGAGATCAGTTTACTGTGATACTCACTACAGTTGACCATATGCAATAGCCTATTATCAACAACAACGAAAAAATCAATTCTCGAATATGACTTAGACTTAGACTAAACTTTATTCATCCCTTGGGATGGCTCCCGCAGGAAATTCGGTTACCAGCAGCTTTTACAAGTAAAGAGGTAAAAAGGTGCAAAGAGAAGTGGCATATGATGGTGTGTGTGTGTGTGTGTGTGTGTGTGTGTGTGTGTGATGGGTGGATGGTTGCAGCATGTGAGCTAGGTGGGTGGTGTCTGCTGCCTCTTCCCTACTGTCTTCAGTCACCTCCTACCCCCAGTGAGGAGTTGTACAGTCTGATGGCCTGGGGGACAAAGGAGTTCCTGAGTCTGTTGGTCCGACACTTGGGAAGGAGCAGTCTCTCACTGAACAGACTCCTCTGATGACAGAGTGTAGCGGATGACTGGCCTTGTGCATGATCTCCAACAGTTTATTGTGCGTCTCTGTCACCAGAGAGTCCAGCTTCATGCCGACCACAGAGCCCGCCTTCCTGATCAGTTTGTCCAGTCTGGATGCGTCCCTCTTGGATGTGCCGCCTCCCCAGCACACCACGGTGTAAAAAAAGACACTGGCAACCACAGACTGGTAGAACATCCGCAGCAGTTTGCTGCAGATGTTAAAGGACCGGAGTCTCCTCAGGAAGTACAACCTGCTCTGGGTCTTCTGGTATAGGTGGCTGGTGTGTGCTGACCAGTCCAGTTTGTTGTCCAACCACAGCCTGAGGTATTTGTAGGAGTCGACAGACTCCACCTCAACTCCCTCGAGCAGGACTGGTCTCAGCTTTGGTCTGGCCCTCCCAAAGTCTATGACCAGCTCCTTCGTCTTTGAGGTGTTGAGCTCCAGGTGGTTAAGGCGACACCAGGAGGCAAAGTCCCCCACCAGACTCCCCCCCCCCCCCCCGTCCCCCCATCGGCTCTGGTCTTTGAGTTGAGACCAGTGATGGTCCTTACGCCTTCCCAGACCTTTCCAGACCTCCCTCATGCTATTCTCCTTCAGCTTCTGCTCCACTTTCCTCCTGTAGCTGTCCTTAGCCTCCCTGATGAGGTGTTTCACCTCCCGCTGTGCTGCTTTCATGGCCTCCCTATCTCCGCTCCTGAAGGCAGCCTTCTTTTTGTTTAGGACAGTTTTGACTTCCCTTGTTACACACGGTTTGTTATTAGGGTAGCAGCGGACAGACTTAACAGGGGAGACCACATCTGCGCAGAAGTTCAGGTAGTCTGTCAGACAGTGTGTCAGCCTCTCTATGTCCTCACCATGTGGGTTGGTCAGCACGTCCCAGTCTGTGGTGTTGAAGCAGTCTCTCAGTGCACTGTCCATTTCAGGGGACCACCTCCTGCTGGAACAAGTGGTTACTGGCTCCATGGGATATTGTTAGGATGAGTTTCTTCAGCCAGTCATATTAGCCTCTAGAGTGGTGGAGCTGTGTCACTCAAATACCCCAGACACTTTGGTGTTAGATTGCTGGAGCCGGGGGCCTCCGACAACCATCCCTGACCGAGGAACCCTGTACACATTATTTACATCATGTAGGTCCCCAAAATATGTTTTGCTATGGTATTTCCTTCTTCTTGGGACCTTGGGACCATGTTCACCTTAGGCTTTTTAAAATATATTGTCCTTTGTTTTTACCATACATGGATTTCTCTTAGGGTCAACTAAATATCAACAGTATGTTTAGAGTTGTGGACCACTATATATACTTGAAGGGTCTTAGACCACTCTTTGTTACACTTGTGGCATGTTGAAAATGTAACCCAGATCTGCAACCAGTAAAGCTTGTCAAACTGACCCTTCGTGTGGACCTTCCATTCTTTCAAGTGTGAACCTGGGCTAGGCATCCTTACAGATATATAAAGAGCACACACTTCCTCCCGAGAAGAGAAGAAAGTGGGGGAAAAAAGAGATAAAAAAAGAGATAAAGTAAGTAAAGAGAGCTAAAGACTGGAGAGCTACTGGAGAAGCAGCTGCCTCCTACGGCACCAGAGGTGTATTGTCAATGGACATGGGGAAAAAAATGAAAAGTTCCAGTGGAGAGAGGAATGGAGTAGACGCATGTATCGCGCTGACCCGGAAAAACATAACTTTCCACAACCCAACCACAACCCAACTCTTTAGTAAAAGTGAGTACTTTATTCTACATGCTTCGTGGCCTCTAAAACCAGGCTGGCTAAGGAAAGACACACCTGCCAGTGTTGGGGAAATTCACTTTCTACCCGAACTAGTTCAAAGTTCAGTTCACACATTTTAAAATGAACTAGTTCAATTCATCATTCCACATTTTGAACTTAAGTTTATGATTCCCAAAAATGAACAAATTTTGTTCTTTTTTTTCTCCAATACTTAATGCAAGCTATTATTTGTCAATATTTTTTATGGAGCCCATATAGAACCACAGACAGCAATTATTTTAGCTGTTTTAACGCTGAAACTACATCAGATTAATCTTCATATCCATTTTTGAATCCTAATCCAACAAGGTTTACAATAACATTGAGAGGACAGCTCTCAGAATACTGGCATTTCCCTAATGTTTTGTTCAGTCCTCACTAATAGGAACGTTAATCTCTGGAGTAAACTGTTTGAGATGAAAAGGTTAATGACCTCTATCAGGCACCCACGGCTCTGAGTGTGGGAATACACAGGAATACACAATAACGGTCAGTGTTTTTCTTCCTTCGGGAGCAAGGATGTTCTCCATGACAAACACTTTGAGGAATGTAGGCTTCCACATCACAAGATGAAACTGGAGACTTGACTCTTGCCCTACAAAGTTCATCGCTGTCTAACTGACAAGCTGTTTAGCCTAGCCTCAGACACCTTAGCCAAAGCTTACATATGCCACCCTTACAGATGTCCTAGTTTTAACAGAATCCCTGCCAGTCTGCTGTGTAAGCTGCTTCACCCAGGGCAACTTTCTGCCAAAGGTCCAGTTCAAAGCTAACTGTCAGTGGGTCTTACGGCAGAAAACAAGCTCATCCTTCAGAATACAGCAGCCAACGCAGAGCCTGGATTTCTTCCCAGTGTGCCTTGCCCGACACTTTGTCTCTGGTGGACTTGAGGGCTGGTTTTCAGGTGATGGCGGTATAGTGGTAAGCACAGCTGCCCTCCAAGCAGTTGACCTGAGTTCGACTCCCGGCCACTGCAAATGACTTAAATTATTAACTGACCAGTGAAGAAGTCAGGCATCTTTCCAACCGGGAATATTGGTGGTCGCAGTTTCCGGTTTTGTTTTGTTGATGTCTGGAATGGCAGTTTTGGCGTTCCCTGCTTCCCTTTCAGGGTAAAAGACTTTCAGATGAAAGGATTACATACAGTAGGTGCTCCCCATAATAACGTAACATAAAAGTTTTTGTAGTGAAACCTGGCATACTTACGGGCTCTTGACTTGGCCCTCTGCTTTTATCTTTACATCTCTCTTGCTGTGCAATCCTGTGGGACCTTAAACTCATAGTTTCCTTCCCGAAGGGTGTCCCTGTGACCTTCTGTTTGGTTGGCAGCCTCAAAGTGCACACTGCTCTTAGTGGGGGAGGGGCACTTGGCAGAGAGGGGGGGTGGTCATGGTCATGGCGATGGACCCGAAATCCATTGGGGTCTCCCTACGTAGGTTCGAATCCTGCCAGCAACGCTTGTCTTTGTCTTCTGACCATCAGACTGTTTAAGTTGGATCATGACCAGCAGTTCAGTTGCTCAGAAAAGCAGTGTGCTCCTGAGGAACTTGCACAGCCATTCACACCTCTTGTCATTTGAACGTGATGAGTCCACTAGTTAGCCTTTCACAAACTGAATTGAAGTATATTTTCACGTCAGCCAGACAGACTGAGCACCATGCATATGTATTTTGTTTGGCTGTGGTAAATTGTCTATCAGTATTGACAGTGCTGCTAACAAAGAGTGGGAGAGTTTACATACACATCCCATCTGAAGCAGGCGTGCTTGTGGAGCTGTAAGTTTCGCAGTACGTGTGTTGTAGCACCCAGTGCTTAATTTTCACCACAGACTGTATAGAATTGACGCCGTCTGCCTCCTCGCTGGGTGAAACCTCTGTGAGAACAGCACCCTCTGGTGATGGGCTGCAGTGTAGGTCATAAATCCTGCCTCCTCCAGCAATCCTAATGGAGTTGTGGACAAACAAAGTGACAAAGAGAAGAGGATAGAGATGTATGAAGTCTGGGTCATTGTGAACTGAAAAACAACGGCATCCTGACTGTGAGCTGCACCTGTATGGCCGGGTATATGTTATTGTTACCTCCTCAGCATTCTCATCCTTAACTGTAGTATAGGACAGCTGCTTTGGCTCATTTGATGCAGGTAACTTGCAGGTCCAGCTAATATGGCAGGTGAAACAGTGGAGGAGTCGGAGCATAGCTTCTTAACTCGTCACTTGTATTCAGTGCTGCTGGCCTTCAGTAAAACTTGTGCATTTTGTTCTTATCAAAATGGTTTGTGCAACCAACAACACAAGACATGGTCGCTGCTCTTGCTTCTAACTTTTCAAAGTAGAAGGGTTTGTTTCAACTTTGTTAGGTTGTTTCAACTACCTTGGGTATTGAATTGAATTTGAAAATTGAATTGAAATTTGACGGGGGCTGTCAGCCAATCACAGGCCAGTTTAGAAAGTCCATGGCCCAATCTCAATCCACCCCTTACACATTCGCCCTTCACTATCGAGTGTCACTTGTAATGAAGTTACACTCGCAGCTCTGAAGTGCGCATCAATTGAAATGCAAGGGTATAAACAAGATGGGCGAGTATGGGACAACCTCCTCACTCCACCGTAGAACTGAAAGATTCATTGCCATAGCAACACAAAGACCTGTCCTGTGCAAGGCAGAGTTTATTTTCTAAGTAAATGGGCATCATGTGCAATTCTGAGCCACACCGGCTGCCTCGTTTTTCATTGTCCTAGTGAAATCCTAAATCCAGGGACCATCACAGTGACAGGAGCTAAATTAGACTTCCGATTGTAATCAATTCCACACTTCTTTGAACCCTTTTAAGATTTGACATGTGCCTGCACAATTAAATCAAACGTCAGCACAGAGTAAGACTTGATCTTTCCAAACCACATCTTTTGTTATTATTATTATTATTATTATTATTATTATTTTTGTCAGTGAGACAAAGGTGGACACATACAGAACTTACATTTGTGTGTTGTTTCCTCCTCCCCCATTTTTGCCAGCACACTACATGCAAACCCCGTTGTAAGTTTGCACCGGTGCAGACTCGCTATATAAGGGCTGAACAGTCCACCCTCCCTCTGCACTTTGCGGTTTGGGACGGCCTTCAATATGGCAGAGCCTCCGCTGGGATGCACAAACGGAGGAGGAGTGTGTAGGGCGAGTCTGTCGGGGGTGGTTTGGGATTGGGCCCACAAGTAAATGCCGATGCGTGTTCACAACACTGAATTGCAATGACGGATAGTCAGGGAGAAAATTTTCCTGCATTGGCAACAACTGCCTACACTAAAAAGCAGGCCAAAAAAATGGAACAGACTTTTCTGAAGAGTCTAAAAGAGAATCTGACAATAAACACAACATAAATATTGGAGCAGCTTTCAGAGATGGAGACAACTGTGGAATAGCATCGGCTTCAAACTGGATTCCAAGCTTGCTCTTCATCTTCTAGACTGGTAAGCTGCTAACTTAATTTGTATTGTTTACATTCAAAATTTCTCCCAATAACTGGCACTTCTGAGATCCTTCCTGTCCCAGTTTTAATTATTTTTCCATGTGTTGGATTCACGTGTGCTAGGGTTAGGTTTGGGGCCACTTAGAGGTTGTCTGCAGCCTGCTAACTGAATAGGTTAACCGTGTGATAGACTGGTGAGCTGTCCAGGGTGAACCCTACCTTCACCCAATACTAGCTGGGATAGGCTCTAGACACCCTGTGGCCTCAAGGGATAGGCTGTTAAGATAATGGATGTATGGCATTTATCAGTGATACTACGGATCGCATTGGTCCAGGGTTTCCACAGTTTGAACATCATGGTGAATAATGTTAATTTGCCAGTGCGACTTGCATTTTTTGTTTTCTTGAAAAACTCACCTTGGCTGCACGCTGGTGGGAGCCTGAGAAAGGTGCTTGACTGGTTTAGCACTGCTTCTGTATGCTCTGAAGATGAGTGAAAGAAGGCAGACAGACATCAGTGTTTGATAGATAGCATCATAAGAATGAAAGAGAAGGAATGATAGAATTGTGCTGCATTATGAGCTGAGATGGTCAGAGAAAGTAATTTTGACTTGCGTCACCAGAATTCTTCTTTTTGCAGATGAATATCTGATAGTAGGCAAATTGGTTTTACTAAAAAATACTCCACTAAACACTAGATGTATGATTTTAAACCCATGAGTATATTTAGGTGACTTGTTTTGACTTGTGCAGATTTCCTCTGCAAAAATAACAGCAGGTAAACTGACTGGAGGCAGGTTAATCATCCACCTGATCAAGTTTCACAGTGTTTTTGAGTAATGTGTTATTAGAAGTATATACTGAATGGTGGACTCTTCAAGGAATCTATGAGTGTCTGTAAGTAACTCCACATGTAATCAGGTGATAACAGTGTTCATAAATAGATATTAAGCAGAAACATGTGAAGATCTTTAAAAGTATCTCAGCTGTCAGGAGAGTGCACATAGGGGAAATAATAGTCCTCACAGCCTGTCTCATACATAACCAAACAGCTCATGGTCGAGGTTATGTAGCCTTTTGGATTACATCAGAAGCAAGTATAGTCAACTACAGTCCCTGTCCTGGTAATGATAATTATCCGTCTTTTCCCTGTCCCTCACAGATCACATCACTGCATGAGAATTACAGGCTTCATGCTGACCCATCACTGGTAGGGCCAATTCTCAATCTGACAGCACCTGAGCTAAAAACACAGGCACAATTATGCATGATCATGCACACACTGCATACAAACACACACTCCAGTTGTATGTAGGGTACCTGCAGAAATGGAGTAGAAAACTGAAGGCTGCAGAGTTTGATGCTCAGAGATGAGTAAACCTTTAGAAACTCAGTGTGTATGAGTGTTTGAATTAAATTTGTAGTATCATGATACAGATTCTGCTCCAGGAACTGGTGTGATTCCCAACAAGATAACAGTCAAAACAGTTGCTTTGTTTGTGGTCTATTATCAAGTGCAAGGTTGATATTATCAGCCATTTGTTGCATGAATAAAGAAAGTTTTTATGAAGGTTTTCTTTCTCTTTCTGTCTTTCTCTCTTCCTTTAATGAAGAAAGGGCCAATGTTCTTCCAAGTCATCTGGATCTTTGACAACGAAAAAAATGTGGCATCTAAAAAAACACTAAGTTTGTGGCAAGTCTTTGAGGCTTTAACAAAGACTTCACTAATAAACTAACCTTGTCTTGTACTTAATTACATCTGTGTGTAGCTTGTGTGAGGGTATTAAAACAAAAATGATAATGCTAATGTCATGATATGTTCTGTTTAGGCTGTCCGCGGTATACCGTATACACCATCACCGCGGTGAAATAAAGTCACGGTGGCGACACCGTGCGACTGCTGAGCTCATGGTGTCGTAATTCCAATATTATGTTGCGCCGTCGGCGCGTAAAGCGCACGTTCCTCAACACAAGCGCGACTTGCCATAATAAAGATTTCACTTCACGTTCACATTAACAATTGTGGTCAGTCTGGGCTACAGTAAGACAGCAGCACCAAAATATTGAACCATATCCTACCTGTGTGATGCTGCGGAGTGCTGGAAAAAACATGATTGTATATTCCATTAGTTCTGGGCAGGCTGCCATGCCCATGATGATGATGCGCTGCCCCCCGTAAATGGTTCAGTCCAACAATCAAGCACCCCCCAGGAAAGGTAGTTTTGGTATCAAACACACCTAAGGCGACGCCCCGCCATATCCACATGATCCATTCCAGGAAGCGTGCACAAAGCATGGCATGATGATGGCAGACTCCTCCGAACCAGAGGCAGAGATAATATGCTCGAGCCCGGGCCCAGTTGGCCCGCAGCCCCCTCCTTCACCGGTTAGATAAGACACACCACACAGACAGACACACATTTTGCTTAAATAAAGCAATGTTTTCTTTTGAGGATGATCCTTGTGTGTTTTGGTTGTCATTTCATAGCCCCTAGTAAAGTTTTTTTTTTTAATATATATATATATATATCGTCACCGTGGAATACCGAGGTGTATGGTACTGTCACCGTCACCGTACCGTACTGCAAAATCTCAAACCGTGGAAAGCCTAGTTCTATTGATTTAGTTTTTCACTGGTTTTGTTATTTGAGTGTATTTTCTGTGTGTTTTCCCTAGTGTTTCTGTTCCCTATTGTTCCTGTTCTTCTGTAGTCCAGTCTTGTGAGTTTTCAGTTTGTGTTTGACCCTGTTTTCCTCCTGTTATCAGTGTTTTATTCTTTAACTTTTTTTGTTTCCTGTTTTTTTTTTTTGTTTTTTTTTGGAGAAGTTAATTTCTTGTGTTTCTAGACTGGTTTTACTTCCTTACTTTTCCTCCTTCCTTAATCACCTATGAGTTTCACCTGTTGCTTGTTTCCACATGTGTATAAAGTCCCTGGCCATTTTCTCATTGGCTTGCTGCACACTCCTGCGGAACGCAGTATGCAGTACATACTGCATACTGAGTACTGTGTTCCATAGTAGTATGCAGTATGACTGCAAGTTGGCCGTTATTATGTAGTATGGTTGACCCGGTTTAGCTGGTTTCCGGTATGGAAAAGTACATCATACCCTGGTAAATTACAACGACACTACAGTGTTGCCCATTCATTTAAGAAATGAAAAAAATCTCTTTTGCCCAATACCAGCCATGAAAACATGTTGATCTGGCAGCATTTGATTCTCATCACAGCACTGTAAATACAGCAAAGTTATGCTATGTTTATGTTGTCCTTGTTTCCTGCTTAAATAAAAGAAGATGCAATCCTTGCTAAACATGTTAACTGATGGCGTCTGCGTGGTGTGGTCTTATTTCCCTTTGTCCCAATAGTTTGACAAATACAGTGAAAACCCTCTAATACAAACTCCTGTCTCCTGTCAATTTATTTCAAATACCGTCTTGGCTGCTGTTTGAGTCTGACTGCTTTAACGTTTACTCACCTTTCTGCATTAAAGCTTTATGGCACTTTTCCACAGTAACGGTACAGTATGGTACGACACAGCTCTACGCTTTTCCACTAGTGTACTACATACCAGGTACTTTTTTTGTACCTCCTCAGCCCTGGTTCCAAGCGAGCCAAAGCGATACTAAAATGTGACGTCAGCCGACTGCTGTCCAATGGCTGGTCATTGAGTATTGCCATCAGACACACGACACCCAACCGCAGACTGTAAAAAGCCGAACACAACACGGCCCTGCCATTTATAAAACTACTCTTTTACTACAAGAGAGAATGACATCACAGAAGAGTACGCCATGGTCAGTCGACGAGGTACAAACCTTCCTTTCTTTGGTGGCAGAGGAAAGGATCCAGAGGGAGCTCAACAGCATGACACGCAGCGAAAGAGTGTTTCAGGAGATCGCGCAACTCCTGGCAACACACGGCTACCGCCGAACACCTCAGCAAAATGTGCTTGGGCACCCCTTGACAGCATGGCGGACCTGACTTACACCGCGCCTACGCAATGCCATCAGCGAGGCACAAAAATAGAGCCCATAAATTCAAAGCAGTTCAGCACCCAGGATATCGACCACATTTACTTTCTTTAACAGGTTCAGCTCACAACCGTCTGTCTCCCTCACCCCCCTCCACTGGAGACATCAGCACCCCCCCCCACATGACCGTGACTACGGGCCAGGTTAGGAGACAGCTGGAGAGGCTCCACCAGAGGAAGGCAGCAGGACCTGATGGCATCAGCCCTAGGATCCTGAGGACCTGCGCCAGCCAGCTGTCTTCTGTCATCCAACACCTCTACAACCTGAGCCTGAGTCAAGAGAGAGTCCCTGTGCTGTGGAAGACGTCCTGTCTCGTTCCTGTCCCAAAGAAGTCGACTCCATCTGACCTCAATGACTCCGACCAGTTGCCCTCACATCCCATCTGATGAAGGTGCTCTTAGACCCTCTACAGTTTTCCTACCAGCCCCATTTGGGAGTTGATGATGCTGTCATCTACCTGCTGCAACGAGCTCATTTGCATCTGGATGATGGTGGCAGCACTGTGAGAATCACCTTCTTTGACTTCTCCAGTGCTTTTAACACCATCTAGCCACTGCTGTTGGGTGAGAAGCTGCGGGTGATGGATGTCGACACCTCCATTGTCTCCTGGATAACTGACTACCTGATGGACAGGCCACAGTTTGTCCGTCTGGGCAGTGTTCTGTATGACGTGGTGGTCGGTGATGCAGGAGCTCTACAGGGGACTGTGCTGTCCCCTTTCCTTTTCACCTTGTACACCACTGACTTTCAGTACAACTCCGAGTCATGCCACCTGCAGAAATTTTCTGATGACTCGGCTGTTGTTGGGTGTATAAGCGAGGGAAGGGATGGGGAGTACAGAGCAGTGGTGGACAACTTTGTGGAGTGGGCTGGATGCAGTCACCTGAGGCTGAATGTCACCAAGACCAGAGAGATGGTCATTGACTTCAAGAAGAAGAGGACGGCTTCAGAGCCGCTGTGCATCCTGGGAGAAAATGTGGAGGAGGTGGAGGTCTACAAGTACCTGGGCGTCTATATCAACAATAGACTGGACTGGAAATCCAACACCGACGCTGTCTACAAGAAGGGGATGAGCAGACTCTACTTCCTGAGGAAGCTGAGATCCTTCAACGTGTGCAGCAGGATGTTGGAGATGTTCTACCAGTCTGTGGTGGCCAGCGTACCTCTCTTTGCCGTGGTTTGTTGGGGGAGCAGCATCGGAGCCAGTGACACCAACAGACTCAACAAACTGATCAGGAAGGCTGACTCCGTGATTGGCTGCAAACAGGACACTGTGGAGGCTGTGGTGGAGAGGAGGACACTGAACAAACTGTTATCCATCATGGATAACCCTGACCACCCTCTCCACCTCACTCTGGACAGACAGCACAGCTCCTTCTCCAACAGACTGTTGCAGGTCCGCTGTCGAAGGGACAGATGCAGGAAATC